TATATATATATATATATATATATATATATATATATATTAGCTTATTTAAGTTAACATACTCTTAATTTTTAGGATCATAATGAATTTTTAGAAAATATTAATATAAATTAAAGTATTAACTGGTAATTAATTTATCGTAACTAATCAATATTAATTAATATGCAAGTTTTTATGTCTTGAATGTATTTATATATTAAAATTAAACTTATGAGAAATAAGTAATTATGGAAGTCTAAAACTTTAGGTTGACTTATTTGATTATGTAACGTTCTGTAAAAAAAAGAAAATTGAATCATCAACAATTGTGATCTAAAAAATGATTGATAAAAACAACATAAATAACAACAATTCTCAAAATCAGTGTGAAAAAATGAGATCAAAGGAGTAAAATATTCGAACTCCCAATGAACGAAGTTACTATCTACACTTAAAAAGGGAATCAAGGAGTCGACGTGCGTTAAGTTAGCTCGATTAATCCGGAGGTAAAAGGGACATCAGCACCGCCGGCAGCTGATGACGCAGGAACGGGCGCGCTTCAGAAGGCGCTGATGGCTCTTTCTGCGGGTGGGCAAGGGGGCGGAGGCGGCGGGGAGGCAGCGTCGTCGTCGTCGAGGCCCTGGAAGAACGGGTCCGTGAGGAGTTGGGAGGCAGAGGGCCGAGCCCTCGGCTTGCCGAGGCACCGCTCGATGAAGGCCTGCACCTCGGGGTCCTTGACCTTGGACAAGGCCGCCGGCCTCACCCCGGTCGTCACCTTCCGGTAGATCCTGGCGATGTTGTCGCACTCGCCGTAGGGGATCTCGAGGGTCACCATCTCCAGCACACACATCCCGAACGAGTAGATGTCGACCAGCTCCGTGTAGTCCTCCTCGTACATCTCCGGGGCCATGAACTCCGGCGTCCCCAGCACGGAATGCGCAGCGTGGTTCTTCCCGACCAGCGCCGCTAGCCCAAAATCCCCAATTTTTACCTGCAGGTTATCAATGCTATAAGAACAGAGGGACTATTTCAAGATAAAAACAGCACCTTTTAATGCATGAGTAGAAATGGAGGAGTGGCGTTCGATGGCGTGCCTGGCCAACATTGCCATTGATGAAGACGTTGGAGCAATTAAGGTCGCGGTGGATGACGCACGGCTCGTGGCTGTGGAGGTAGTGCAAGCCCTTCAGTATCTGGCGCGACCATTTCTTGAGGGCCTTGAGCGAGACGTGGCGGTGCCGCTTCCGGTACTCCCGAAGGCTGCCGGAGTTGCAGAACTCGGT